GTTTAAAGCAAGAAGTCTTTTAAGGGCAGGGACAGTGCTGTCTGTCCTTGCTGTCTCAAGATTTCTAGTTCCTATGGCCTCTATCTAGTTCCCCAGACCTCTGCAGTATATGATAAAGCTTCTGTTTCCTCATCTGTACCGTGAGGATCATAATACTGTAGCAGGCACAGTGGGCACCTTGCTCATATTCCCTATACCCTTGTCCTCCAATGCACGCAGGCCTGTCTTCCAACTGCTGGCATCCGCACCTCTTGGCTTCCTCTGGCCCAGGAGCCCCCTCCGCCTTCATGCAGCAGGCCAGGGGGCCAGCCCTCAACTAAGGAGCTGGGAGAGCAGGTGGATAAACCCCCCAGCCTCCTTGGCCCTTGGACAGGGTCCTCGAGGTGCACGTTCTCTGACGTCTCCTCAAGCTCCCCAGAACTGAGTCCCATTTGCCCAAGGTGGACACTTGCTCCATAACACACCCTTTGCTGGCTGCCTTCCTGTCCCTATCTCACTTCCTTACACCCCTGCTGGTGCCTTCTGGAATCCCCTCCCAAATAAACCACTTGCATTCACATTCTTATCCCACAGTGTCCTTTTGGGGGAACCCAAACAAAGAGAAATGCTACTAAACAGAACATATTGGATAGAAGATTAAACAAGAAAAGCAAGTAAAGTTTACCTTACTACCCCTAGCAATAATGAGCGATCAAGAAATGTTGGGTTGGGGGGCTGGCCCTGTGGCTGAGCAGCTGAGTTTGTGCGCTCCACTGCAGGCGGCCCAGTGTTTCGTCGGTTCAAATCCTGGGCACGGACATGGCACTGCTCATCAAACCACGCTGAGGCAGCGTCCCACATGCCACAACTAAGAATATACAACTATGCACTGGGGGGCTTTGGGGAGAAAAAGTAAAACAGTAAAAAAAAAGTCTTTAAGAAATGTTGGGTTGGTAGAGTGCCCAGGCTTGGGGCACATGCCCTGTGCCGTCATTTACTCTCCTGAAGACTCTGGCCAGTTCCATAATCTCTCTGGACTTCACTTTCCTCGTCTGTCCAATGGAGACAATAATAGTGTCCGTGGGTTGGGTGACGGTTAAGGGAGATAACATACACAGAGCTCTTAGCACATTATAAGGCTCAATAAATATTAGCTATTTTTTTTGGGTTCCTTTCCCACCTGTGCGCCCAGTGGCTATCTAGCCTCTTTTGCCTACAAAAGAAAAACCTCAATTCTGAGATCTGTCAGGAAACATAGGGAGATGAGAATGGCAAATAAATGTTAGTTCATTAAAAGTCTGGACATTCTAAAATTTTCAAAGAATTTTTGAAGTAGAAAGAATGTCAGTGGTCAGCTTTGTCTCCAATAGGCTCGAGTACTTCTAGAAAAAGCCCCTTGAACCACGTAAGTGGCAGAAACATCAGGCTGGGCGGGAGGTGGTCTTTTCGAACAAGCAGGAGCCTAATGGATGGGTGATCGTTGGGGAAAGGGCAATCAGTAAAATCAGACTGTGCGCTCCCGACAAAACCTCCTCTCATTTCCTGACTTCCTGGCCCCATGTGTTAGCTAAAGGAGCTGAGGGACAGCAGCGAGGACAGAAAGGACAGACTCTCAGCTGCTGACATCTCCCCTGGGGAAAGGGATAGCACAAGGCTGACAGCTGCTCCCTTAAATAGAACCCCACGACTCAGTTGGAGCTGCGACATGATAGATTACAGAAGAAGGGAAAGGGGGAAGCAGGGAGGCCAGCGGACCCCAATCAAAACCAAATTGGCATGGCTTCTGCCACAACCACGCAGTCTTCCCTGTTCCTTGGCACTTGGCCTTGTCTGCTTGGTCCAGAGTGAAGGAGAACTTTTCAAGGCGACTTTGAATTGGACTCAATGTGGTCACTTAAAATAGATAATACAGACCCTACAGAAAATCCAGCCCTAGAGAGCTCCTTTCTCTATTTGTTCTTATAAAAATTCCATCACTCTTTTCTTCACTTACTCAAAGATCATTTATTGAGCATCTACTATGTGGTCCAGAAGCGGACCCTGAGACAAGGATTTGAATGCAAGTGGTTTATTTGGGAGGTGATCCCAGGAAACATAGGTAGGGGAGCAGGCAAGGGAGGCAGGGAAGGGAAAGCAGGCAATGAAGAGCGTGTCATCAAGCCCAGCACCGCCATGGGCAACTGGAGTTTAATATCACTGGGGAACTTTCAAAGCCAATGTTGAACACGAGCCCCAGTTTTCCCATGGTGGGGGTTGAGAGTATGCCAACTCCTTTCAGGCATCGTCTGAGGGCTGCTGGGAAGGGCTTTAATTCCCTAGCACTTCCAGCTTGCCTCAGGAGCAGGAAAGCAGGCTCTGGAAGCCAGAGAAAACAGTCAGGCGAAGATGCAGATGCTGCCCATTGGAACTGGAGAGGTCTGCACTGAAATGGTCAGGGGACACAGGTGGGCACCAGCAGCATCTGCTAGACTGAGTCTCAGACAGTGTTAGGTGCTGGGAACGCAGAGGAAAAAGACACAGCCCTGCCCTCAAGGAGCTTAGAGTTTACAGAGGATGATAGTGCAGTCGACAGTTATAATGCAGTATGACAAGTGCGTTGGCAGGAGCAAGCCTAGGATGCTATGGGGAGAGGGTGTGACGGATGCGAGTACAGAGGAGGGGCGAGCGCATCCTTCCTGGAAGAGATGAGGCTGATTTGAGTCTTGCTGGACGAGGACGAGCTCCATGGGAGAGAAAGTCAAGAAAATATTTTCCAGGTAGGGGGACCTTTGTGTGTAAATGTATAAAGGTACAAGAAGGCATTTGACAAACGTCCTTTATGTTTATTGTTTTCCATAGCATGCATTCTCTTTTACTAAGAGAAGCCTTTCTTCAGCACTACAACACTGTCCGCCGTGCCCATCGCTGGATGTCTAATGCACTCAACAAATTCTATTATTTTATGCTGGACGTATGGCGCTATCCTTTAATATCTGACAGTTATTACCCAGAAACTAAATGAACCTTGGAGTGAATATTTTCTTTTCCTTAAAAAAAAAAAAAGGAGAAAAGGTGAAATGTCAGAAAAAAGAAAAAATATTTTAAGCCATGATTCTTCACAGATGCGTGGCACGCTTTTAAAAAAACATGAAAAGATGTGAATTTGAGATGGGGCTAGGATGCATTCCCAAGACCAGCGTGGATGTCTCCCAGACGCCTGCAAATGGCTTATCAAAGGCTCCAGCTGCGGGCTGGACTCATTTGTCAAAGGCCTGACATCTGATGACGTCATAGTGCCAGAAGCTCTCCTGGGCCTGGCTTAGAAAAGGTGTACGTATTGGGAGAGCAGGGCGGGGTCGCGCCCCAGCCAACCCACAGGATTCATTTTTATCGCCGCCCGCTTCTTTTCGATGTGTTGGGTGGCTTGATGGAATTGCTGTGGTTGATGGCGGCTGGCGGGGGGAAGAGGGGAGGATGGGTTCTTAATTCCCTTAAACACCAGATTTTGAAATAGGCTAAAAAAAACCATGCTAAAGGTCTCAACCGACCTTGGGCAGAAGTGTGAAGCAGGTAGAGCCTGTCTTCCTCGGTCCACACTTCCCCTTGGTCTGCCTTTCTTTGCTGGTTAAAGAGGTCCTACTATCCTAGGAGCCAGTGGGGAAAGGTTGACCAGATATTTTTTCCACGGGACTAGAGACGGGCTGTTGCCCCAACACAGATGGATTTGCATTTTAAAAGAGAACCGTGGGTGAGAGCAATGCTTAGCACAAAGGAATCCCTCAATAATGGAGGAAACGTAGGCATGGTGGGAGCCGCATTTGCTGGCTCCTTTCAGAGCCAGACAGATGACTATCTCCGCTGGTCTGCACGAGGGTTGGCTGCCACAAATGGGGCCAGATATTAATCTAGGGTGTTACAAGTCTGGATAGTCTCGGAGGGTGGGTAGCACCTATAAGGGGGCAGGGACTTCTGGGGTGCTGGTCATGTCTGTTTCATGATCTGAGTGCTGGTTACGTGGGTGTCTGCCTGGTGAAAATTCATCAAAGATAAAAACTAATCACATGGAAAAAGTTGACTTTCAAAACCTGGCTTCGGAAACTAGGAAAGGCCTGGCTCCGGGAGTGTCTACTCTTTCCCTTGCTGTATACCAAACGCTTCTATGTTACTGCCTAATTTAATCCTCACACCCACCCTCTGAGCTGGGTCCAGTAATGACATCCATTCTGTAGATAGAGACACAAAGTCACAGAGAGGTTTGACCACTTGTCCAAGACCACACAGCCAGTTAATGGCAGAGCAGGGATCCAAACTCAGGTCTCCTAGCTGGAAAGTCTGTGCTCTTTCAAATGGGTAATATACAGGCGTAGAGGCCAACGCCCTGCCCCCACAGCTTAGATGGCTGTGGGAAAATCCTAGTTTGCTCAGAGGTCGAAGCAACTTCTGTGTTTGTCTGAGAAGAGATGATTATCAGGAGGCGAAGGTCTGAACTGGTGGCAGCTGGGACTGGGGAGCCAAGAGGGCAAGGTTCACCTTGGGATGTTCCAGAGTGGTGACAGTGCTCAGAACTTGGAGAGGAACTGAGGTGCGTGGGCAGGGACCCGGAGTAGCTGTGTGCTCAGGGGAATGGTGAGCTGGCTCAGGGCATGATGTAGGGTGGGCACAACTGGGGCATGCCAAGGGTCCGGTTTTGAGATGACTCAGTATGGTGGTTTTGACTTGAAATGGAAGGAGTCCTGGGAGCTTTGAATTTCCAAGAACCAAAGAGGTGGAGGGATGTTTCTAGTCTTCCTGGACCCCCAGCAGGGAAGCAAGGTAAGTGAAGAAGGAAGGTGTACACTTTACAAAGATGGCCACAACTATAGCTCTCATTCCCACATGGTTTTCTGCAATGCGACCTGTCACTCACCCATCAAGTTTGTCTCTCCATCCCTTGGAATCTGGCGAGACCCTGTGATTCCTTTGACCAACAGAATGTGCTGGAAGTGCATGTATACCCGTTCCTGGTGTAGCCCTTAATTGGCTTCCTCTTGCTGCCTCTTTAGACTCTTGCTCTTGGGACACGCCTCTCAGAACCCAGCCACCATGCTGTGGGGAAGCCCAAGCCACACGGAGGTGCTCCAGCTGACAGCCCCAGCTGTGCTGCTGCTGGTTGACAGCCAGCATCAACCACCAGCCCTGTGTGTGTGCCATCTTGGATGTCCAGCCCAGTCCAGCCTACAGCTGTAGCCACTAGAGAGACCTCGAGAACTATCTAGGTGAGTCCAGTCAACTCACAGAACTCAAGGTACAATAATAACGGTTGTTTTAAGTCACTAAGACTTCGGGTTGTTACACAACAACAGATAACAGAAAAAGAAAGACAAGGGTCCCAAAAGATTGGAGTGTTGGAGTGCTGATGGTGTCAACCTGGGGTGTAAGAAGGAGAAAATTAAAGGAGCCTTCAAGTAGGGTCCAGCTTACGTTCATAAGAACATCAGCAAGGCCAGGAGCCTGGAAACTTGAGTTGCAGGCTTGGCCCTGCCACTCACTGGCCCTGGAATCTTCCTTCAGCAAGTTACCGCCTCTCTGGGCCTCGGTTTCCTCATCTGTAAAATGGAGATGATCCACAAGCACAGAATATTGTATCTGGACCCCAACTGGAGTAGGCAATGCCAAGATCAATACGATCTAGGCCTTGAGATCTTGTGCTCATTCTAAGAATATTTGCATGTAAATGTTAATTACATGCAAATCCCTTACAACAGTACCTAGCACACTCCAAGCGCTCGAGTTATGGTCGCTGTCATTATTACACTGTGCCTGCAACTTACTTCTCAGAATAGCATTTGTATCCTGATTGCAGCTTTAGAAAGCTGACCGGGTACAATTACTTTGGAAAACTGGCAATAAAGGTGAACACATGCCTACTTATGACCCAGCGATTCCACTCCTGGGTATACACCCAACAGAAATGGGTCCTCATATCCACCCAAAGGCATATACGACAATGTTCACAACCACCTTCTTCACAACAGCCCCAAGTTGAAGACAATCCAAAGGGCCATTGACAGTCAAATAGATAAATAAATGGTGGTAGCTTCACTCAATGGAACACCACTCAGTAATTAAAAAGGATGCACTACTGTTTTGTGCAACAGCCTGGCCGATGGCAGACAATGAGTGACAGAAGCCATACACAAAAGAGCACAAGCGCACGATTCCTTTACAAAAACAGGCAAAACTAATCGATGGTGACAGAGGGCAGAATAGTTGGGGATGTTGACTATATGGGGTCATAAGGGAACCTTCTGGGCTGCTGGAAAGTTCTCTATCTTGACCTGGGTGGTGATTAGGCAGGCATATACGTACGTAAAAATTCATCAAGCTGTGCACTTCTGATGTGTGTTCTTTACTGTATGTAAATTATGTCTCGACAAAAATGTAAATAAAAAGGGAAAAAGCTTGCTATGGGTGGGTTGCTCCCAGACGGCCGCTGCCAGGGAGTTGGCAGGAAAGGGGAAAAGGTGAGGGGTCCTAGGTGAGGAGTTCTGGAAGAAAATGTCCTCTCTTCTCCTGGGAGGGGGCAGTCCCCATTTAGCCAAGTGACCCTGGAGGCCACTGGGGATCTCTCCCGTTGGGGCTGTCCTGAGCTGCTTGTAGCTCCCTAAGGCTGTGCTGGGGCCAGTGTGGGGCTCCCCAGCAGACCCCCAAGTTCCTGAGGCTTGGGCCTTTCCTTTCACAAGTGAGACTCAGCCTCCAAGTCTGAGATGCCACATCTGAAAGGCAGCCATGAAGAATCCTGTTAACATGAAGCATCGGGGACTTCAAGAACCTGCAACGCAGCCACGGGAGGGAGTGGAGATGCCGGTGAACTCAGTGGACACGAGACGAGTGGAGTTGAGTGTGGGGCCCGCAGGGCCAGTTTGCTAGGAATCCGACTCCTGACAGTTGGGGACTGGACCACAGGAAAGGGCTTGCTTCTGGAGCAGGTGTTGGCAGCAGGGCAGGCTTCCTGGAGGAGGAGGGCTGGCTGGAGAAAGGCTTCCCGGAAGTCTCCTGTCCCTGTCTCCCCCTCTGCAAAGCTCCGCTGGCCTGTCACTCCCAGTACACTCAGTTCTCTTGGAGAGGGGGCTCTTGGAGCCAACACCACATGATCACCCCCTCCCCCAGCGAGGACCAAGGAGCACCACGGTACAGACCATCCAAGGCTGCGGTAGCCCCGGCTGGCTGAGCGCGGAGGATTCGGTATAATTAGTTTAGAAACGAGGGCGGATTTTATCACCATCTATGCGGGAGCAGATCTCGCTGCTGCCTGCGGACTTCCCTGGGAGAGCGCTCTGGCATCGCACCCCGGGGGCACCCCCTCCCCCCAGTGCCCCTGCCCGAGGGCCGCCTGGGCCGCCGGGGTCCCCTGCAGCGCGGCAAAGCCCCCAGGGAGCCCCCTCCCGCCCGCGCGTTCCGTCCCTGGCACTTCTCTGGGGACGCGGGGGCGGCCCGGGGGCAGCCGGAGGCCTTGGCACGGCCGCAGGGTAATTGGAGCGCGCCGGGGACCTCATAAGGGAGGGAGAGGGGACGTCCCTCGGGACGCCAGTCCCCGCAACACAGCTCGGGAGGGGGCGGTCGGGCCCCGGTGGGCCAGCCAGGGGTCCGCGCGGCCACGGAGGCCCCCTCCCCCGCTCCGCGCCCGGCCGCGCCGCGCCCTCCCCACGGCTCCGCCCGCTCATTAGCGGAGGCCGGGCGGGCTCGTTCGCCTCCTCCGGCTGCCAATTACCCGCCCTGCTGGCTCCGAGCGCGCCGCCGGGCCAGACAAAGGCGCGGGCGGGGGAGCGAAGGGAGGGAGCCTGGGGCGCCCGCGCCTGCAGAGCGGCGGCGGCGGCGGCGGCGGCGGCGAGATCAGGGGGCTGGGGCGCGCCGCGCTCCGAATGGAAATGAACCTGCGAGCGGGGCCGGCGAGCGTCCACGTCCCACGCGGCTCGCCCCTTTGGACCCGCGTTTTTCACGCGACATCAATCCCCCCCAGGTGGGGGCATCGGGTCCCCGGTTGCCCCTCGGGCACCAGCCGCTCTCCCCGCACCGCTGTGCGTTTGGAAATTGCTGGAGCGAGGGCGCCACGTGCCTTGTGCTTCCCTCTCCCCAGCTCCCTAAACCTGCTGTAGGGTTGTGCTTAGCACGGTGCAGCTGGCCAAGGCCTTTCATACTGTCCCCCTCCACAGCCCCCCGGGCCCAGAGGGTCCCAAGCCATTCCCAGGCAAAGCCGAGTTGGAAACGTGGGTCAGGGGTCTCTCGGCGTCCGTGGCGCGCCTCGGTGGCCGCGCTTCCGGCCAGCTCTTGATGATAAGGCGATTTGTTTTTTAATATTTGGAAACATGAGGCACCGGGAGATGCAATGATTTATTCACAGCTCCGCCGATTAGTGGCGGCGTCGAGGGCGGAGTTCACGGTCTTCCAACATTTTAAATATCCTTTCTCAGGGAAAAAAATCCCACCCAAATCTTGCACTGTGATATTTTCAGATTCTAAAGCCCACTTGCAGAGTCCTTCCCACCAGATCCTCTTTCCATGAGAGAGAAGGCAGAGGGTCTGGGAACCTCCTGACCAGCCACAAAGATTTCGAGGAGGCTTAGTTTCATTAGTTTGCATTCTGAAAACCATAAGTAGAATTTTGTTCATTACCCAAATCTGTGATTAGTATGCTGATTGTGAATTTTGAACTTTCAGAATCGCTGGCTGGTCGAGGAGCACCCGGATTTTGGGGACTGAGTCTGTGAGGTGTCCACTCTGCCCTAGGTCGCGTCTCCTGGGTGAGGCCTGGGAGCCTTCTGGGGCCCTGCTAGGGGAGAGTTTCCTGTTACTCTTCCCTGACATCTGTCACCCTGGCTCTGAGGTCACTTCCCCTTCAATTCCCTGAACACCCAGGGCAGGGACAGTGGGGTAGGTGTCAGGGAGACTCCGGCCTCGGGGTGTGCCTGTGGCATGAGATGTAGGCTGCCTCAAATGAAGACAAATGTCCCTCAATAAAGAGCCATTCCCAAGGGCCCCCCTTGCTGTCTGCCCTCAGCCGGCGGCTTAGGCTCCTGAGGTCAAGGTCTTCCTCCCAGCCCCCCCCAGGCCACTTAACTTTTCATAGAGAATAGCCAGTGGGGGCCTTGGCCTCCTCCTTCTGCTCACAAATGCTGGCCTCAGAGATGGGGCACTGGGCCAGAAACAGAGAGAACAGCTCAGTTCAAATCACCCGTGTCCTCCATGTGGGAACAGGGGAAGATGTCTCCGTGTGCCAGCCCTACAGGCCACCGTGTTTCTGCTGTGCTGGTGGCAGCGTGTCTTCTCAGGAAGGGACCTTCTTTCATGTGGGCTCCTTCCAGGAGCCCAGGAGAACCTGTCTTACAGAGCAGTTGTCTGCCCCTGCAGCTTCCCACCAGGAGACCCTGTCCTGGGTGGCACTCAGCTGGTCTGCTCCAGCAAGGCCTTAGCAGTTGTTAAAATATCGAGATGCCTCCGTACTCCTTGGTAAGAAGGCCCAACCCTCCAATGCCTCACTCCCAGGTCCCCTCTCCCCCCACTCGCCCCAACCCAGCAATGAAACAGGTAACAGCAGGTGCAGCTGGGGCTGCTTCTCTTCTGGTTGGTCAGTGGAGATGACAGGCTGCCCCCAGACCGGCTTTTACCAAAAGTATTAGGTGGCCAGTTGGTGACCGATTGGTGAACTTGAGAGACTGAATTCACCCTCAGATTTCCTGGTTCCCAGTATCTCTGCTGTGATTTCATGGTTTTGTATTCAGCTATGGCCTCCCCTGTGATCCTGTTTTCACATGTTCTTTCTATCTTCGTCTTTGCAAATCTCGTGCCCTGGGCATGGGGCAGCGAGGTGGGGGGGGGGGGGGCCGGGATGGCGTAACCCCCTGCCCTCATCTGCCTGCCTGGCTGGGAGACAGACACTGCTGTCTGTTTGCGAGGGCCTTTGGCGGCCCTTGGGGGCCTGAGGTGGGGGTCTCACAGCAGGGCAGATGGTGCCCACCTGGTCCTCAGCACCCTGGCCTAGGTGCTTGGGGAAATCTGGAGCAGCTGCCACACCTCTTTCCAGGGTTTGGTCACGGCCAGCTGTGGGTGACCGTGTTGAGAGCCGCAGCTGACTCCTGTCACCTTCCCACATACACGGACTCAGGAAGGAAAGCAGAGAGACCCTCAGCTCACCACTGCTTAAGGTTTCATGAGCTGGAGAAAGCAAAGCTGGCCGCACCAACCTTTGCAGAATTTCCTTTTGGAGCCAGGCATAGAATGCACCCTTTGCA